GGGGGGGGTTATCCTGCAAAGATAATGAAATTTGGATGCTGGTTCAAGTCGTCAAGCCTGTCCTTCAATTTTCATAAATCAGAATGTTGGTTGGAACTTAAAAATTGAATAATGGCCCGTACCAGTAGATAAAGACTTTAAAAGCGTGTTTATATGTACACCTGAACCAAGGAGGAAATTGTTTTCTGGGGAAGTTGCATTGTGGCCTAGGGCTCAACAGGCGACAATGTTTGGTTACACAGACCAGTACACAGCTCATCACAATCTATGTCTTTGACTGTTTAGTAGCAGTGAGTGGCGGGTTGTAAGACTCATGGCTGGCATTCCTCTCTCTGAACATGAATGCCCCAGTCAAGTGTATGTGCTCGGGTGAAAGTTTGGTGATATTTTGTGTGGTGTATCAGTGGTTTGCCTCCTTCCTGAGAGTCATGTTTTTTGTGTGTGTTTTTTTGTCCTTCACAGAGTCCACTCTCCATCTGGTGTTGAGGTTGAGGGGTGGCATCATCGAGCCCTCTCTGCGTATCCTGGCCTCCAAATTCAACTGCGACAAGATGATCTGTCGCAAGTAAGTACTATTTTGTCAATCTCATTTACCAGATTTTGCGTGATGAACTTTCTCCCTGTTGCTGGAGCGTGTGACCATTACTGTTTTGCACTTCGGGGGCTCATATTAGACTAAGGATGGGTGGTTGGCAGGTGCTCTGGTGTGATTTGATCCTTCTTTCTCATCAAACATCTACCATCCGTATCTCTCTTTTGTTATTTGCTCCAGCAACTTAATCATGGGCGCATGTACTACCTATTTGTAATGCAAATGCTGTAAAACTTATACTTGATCTTAAGGGTTAGGGTGACAGGCATTATATTTTGGTGTTTATCCCTCTTTATTTTTGCTCAACCCCTACCACAGCAGTTGAAAGAATAACTATTTGGTTGCCAGAGCTTGAAATCCCAATTTGGCCCCTGCTGCTGGCATTTCCAAGGTGTTTTAGAACTTTTGTTGGCAGTAAAAATCTGCACCCACCCCCTCACCTCATTTGCCCCCTCCTCTGGGCTCTGGACTCTTTCTGCAGCCTTTCAACTCCTACTCCTTGGCTGCTTACTGCTGTCTTTCAGCCACACCCCTGATGTCCTAGCTTACTCAGACAATGGCAAAAAATGCCGGAGGACCCGTGTGCAAGTTGCGCAGGTTACAGATCCCTTGGTGGTCTAAAATTATTTATTATGAGTAGTGTAGGCTTCAGCCGCCACCCGGGCAAATTTCCTACCAACTGAAAATGTTTGTGTCCTACTCGTATGACCTTATGCAGTTGCGAGTGCCGTAAAAGAATTACCCCAAAAAAAATTCAAAGCTACACTGATGGATTAATGGAAGCATGTATGCCAAATTAAACAGACTTGAAATAATATGGCTTCTCTTTTTGCAAATGCTGGGACAGGCCACGAGTCTGTAAATATGTAAAGATAGTGGGAAAATCCAGACCAACAGGTGTATATTCACATGTCTTGGCCCGCCGGCACAGTGTCGGTATTAGCAGCCGGTCAATTAAAACTAGGCTAGCAGTTGTTTTGTTTTTTTACCTTTTCTTGCTTGTTTTGTTTTTTTACCTTTTCTTTTTGTTTTTGCATTTCTCATTCCTTAGTCTGGTCTCATTCCTTAGTCTGGTCTCATTCCTTAGTCTGGTCTCATTCCTTAGTCTGGTCTCATTCCTTAGTCTGGTCTCATTCCTTAGTCTGGTCTCATTCCTTAGTCTGGTCTCATTCCTTAGTCTGGTCTCATTCCTTAGTCTGGTCTCATTCCTTAGTCTGGTCTCATTCTTTAGTCTGGTCTCATTCCTTAGTCTGGTCTCATTCCTTAGTCTGGTCTCATTCCTTAGTCTGGTCTCATTCCTTAGTCTGGTCTCATTCTTTAGTCTGGTCTCATTCCTTAGTCTGGTCTCATTCCTTAGTCTGGTCTCATTCCTTAGTCTGGTACGGTATTCACTCATTGTTGCAACATCAGAAATAAAACAAAGTAAATGTTAAGTGTGTTTGTTATTGTTGTTTCCAGGTGCTACGCTCGTCTCCACCCTCGTGCCACCAACTGCCGCAAGCGCAAGTGTGGCCACACCAGCAACATCAGGCCCAAGAAGAAGCTGAAGTAAAGTGTGTGGCTGTCCGCTGCTCCGCGCTCTCTCCTCTCCCTTTACAGACACTGGGGGAATACTGTTATTGTGAGGAATAAATGAAAGGGAGAGTTCCAAGTGGTTTTCTGAGTCATTATTTTTGTGTGTTTGATGGTGTGGCCTAGTTGGATGTTGTGGGACTTTTTCTTTTTTGTTCAATCTCTCTCTCTCTCTCTCTCTCTCTCTCTCTCTCTCTCTCTCTCTCTCTCTCTCTCTCTCTCTCTCTCCCTCTCTCTCCCTCTCCCTCTCCCTCTCTCTCTCTCTCTCTCTCCCTCTCTCTCCCTCTCTCTCTCTCTCTCTCTCTCTCTCTCTCTCTCTCTCTCTGTGTGTGTGCAGGCAGCTCTTTAAAAAAGTGGGTGGTTGGTGGGTGTTTGTGGTTTGCTCTTTCATTCCTATAAAAAAAATCTACTGTCCTCGTCTCTCCTATTTTGTGTTGCTTGCTCTCTTATAGCACCTCTAGTATTCAGCACTTAAAACACCTAAATGTGTTGCAAGTGCTGTAAAAACTTTTATTAAAACCGGGGTACACTACTTGTGTAGATCATACCCCAACAAGGTCCTACCTAGTACCATGATGGTCAAGAAGCCATCTGGCAACCCTCCCAAATGCCAGTGGCAGTAATTTCATGTAGGTCTCTGTTATAGCTAAGCCATGTATTTTTTTAATCCTTACCACCTTTTTTGAATTACCAAATCTGTCCGTTTAAACACAGAAGAGTTCCAACTTTCTCTGACGAATGGGGAAATAAATTAGTTTACTGGTCCCGGTGGGGAAATTTGGATTACAAAAGCAAACATACGTACAGTGGAAACCTGATACAGTAGAACATGGCTATAACTGGACTTCTAGTTCCAGAAGAAAAATCCCGTTGTAGGCAATTTTCCGCAAATGGGAAATTACCTAAATTTTAAAAAAATATAGACATGATTACATCCCTTCCATATATCAATAAAATGTGCGCTTTAGATTAGTCTTCCTTAAATTCTATTTCTTGTCAACTTAGTTGATTATCTCAGCCTTTCATTCGAGTGAAAAGCATTTCCTTTTGTATTTATTGGAAGCCATCTTTTCCTCGGTTTGTTGCTTGTGCTGTCTATCCTACCGGTAGGCCAACTGTAGAACTGGTGAAGTGTATGCGTGCCTATGCTTGAGCATCAACGATCCCAGTTCAATGAATCAGAAAAAACACCCTACACTACTACTACTACACTCTCCTCTTTTACTTTTTGGCCTTGCCTAGGACTATAACTATAACAGTAACAGATTTACATCACGTTTGGAGTAGTTCACGCAATGCATCTCTCTCTTGGCCTACCACCTGCCCCACCTCACTCATCCCTGGACTAGCCTGTTGGAGCCCGCCTATAACATATTAACTAACAGCGCCCCCCACCAAGAGTTCGCTCCCGTTGTATCCGAGTTGGAGACTTTCCTTGCCCCGCTTATATCCCAGCATAAGTAATTGAGTTGACTTAGGAAGAAAGACGGGGATTCCGGTATGGTCCCGCTGTGGGGATGGTGCCGCTATAGTCAAGTTCTACTGCATCAATGATCAAGGATGGTGGTACCAGAGAAAAAGTCCTGTTAAATCAGATTTATTATGCAAGGGAAGAAAGCGTTTGTGGACTAATCCAGCGGTATTTATTCACGGATAGTTTCCCTTGCTACATACCCATGAACAGGGGTTGGTTAAGGCCATGTGGTAGCCTACATGTAGTAAGGGCTAGATCGAAAATGCAGCACACCGCAGCCCTCTCTCGCTTCACCCGCTGCTTGTGCTTGCAGTGGCATGGCTTGTGTGGGTTGCTCCGTCACTGCGCTCTGTCTCTCCCTTTATGCACACTGTTAAATATGTTAACGAGCCTTTGTCCCTGCTAACTTTTCATTAATAGTAATAGCGACAAAGAGTAGGCAAAGACGGGGATTTTAAAAAAACCCTGTTTGTTACTGTATTACCGGGCCTGTTATATGATTTAGGTTTCCTCTGTATTAAAAATTAAATATGTGGAATTAGAAATAATAAAATAGGGGGTTATATTTGTATAGCGCATACCCCTGCCCGACAGCAAGCTCTGTGTGCATTACAATTTTACACACTATATATAATAATGACCCCAGCAGACCATAGATAGAACACTGGAAACATTCTCAGTTTCCCGGGAAGCATACAGTGCAAGAAGCTGGTTAGGCATTCAAACCCTAACAAACTGACAAGATCTTTCACTTTATATAATACATGTAGTGTAGCTGGGTGGGTACCCCTTCCCACTTGGCTAAAAAGAGAAAATATTCTCGTGTCACAGTCAAGTACCTTTCCCAAGGACACTGTCGGGCCCCAGACAGGATTCGAGCCCAGGACTGTACGGTTGCGAGTCCGAGGGCCTATCCACTAGCCACTAGACGACTGACACTGACACCACAAAACACGTAACAGGATACTGATACACAATGTCAATATGGCACCAACACAGAACAATTTCACAAAATGTGCCATTGCTGGTCGCGACTGCAACAACTTGGGTTTTTTTTAATGAACTGGCAGTACCGGTAGGAGGGTAATGGAGTCTTGCTCAGGGGCACACCCATGAAGTATGTTGTAGACCCCATGTCACCGACACTTGCTTGACATTATTTTGAAGTCTGAACTCTACACTCTTTAGTCACTGGATCTAATCTACATACTAATACTTAAATACCTGGCCCCGCGGAAAATTGCAACCTTCCCATCCCAGGCGCATTAATACGGGCTTAACATTTTTAGTTTAAAAAACATGACAATTTGAGTACCGGTAGCATAAAAGCAGAACAGCCTTTTAAAAATCATGACAAACAATACAAATTCATCAAATGGTATTAACATTTACTAGTAACAACACAAGAGTACGTTAACAATAAAGTTATCGACCAAATATAATATGATAACGCGTGACACAAAATAACGGAACCCTCAGTTTTCGTAATAATATTTAAATGAAGGCATAAAATTTGACCAAATTTAGTACATAGGGCCTACCAGGTAGGCTACTTGGTTCATGCAACAATCTAGAAGTATGAGGTTTAGTCCATAAAAAAAAAAAAATCGACGAGAGATTTTCGAAACAACCTCTTAAATACAAAATAAGCTCATGCTCCAATCAAACCAGATCCTGTTCTATTTTTCTCTTGAAACCTTCGATACACCGGTAATCTGTATTTAGATCTATTTCAGATATTTTCTGTTTTAAAACCGGCATGGTATTGTTTTAAACATACTTTTCCACACTTTCAAAAAATGAATTATATATTGAAGATGTATGGTCAATTCAACATTCTGGTTAATTGTGTTTCTTATTTGGTGTGTTTGGGTACTATTGCAGATGGGTCTGAAGGCAATAAATAAATAAATAAATAAACAGATTGATATATAAATAAATAAATGAACATAGAATTTTAACAAATTTTTAATGTATGGAAATGTTTTAAAATGCTACATTGTAATTTTCTATAGCCTTTGAGGTAATTATGTGAAAGTCGTTTGAATTATTTTAGTAGTTTCATCATAATGGTAATATTATAGTTCTTTTTACATGATTATCATTGTTTTTAAAATGGCCGCTATAGTTATGTAACATGAATAGTTTTTCGCAACCCAACAGCACGTTCTCTTTTAATGTCCATCCTGAAAAGTTTATGCCAGTTCATGCTTTCGTTATCAACCAAAAAAACCCAACATATTTCTGAGCTACCCTTTGTTGTTGTAGTTGTTGAAACCTATCAATGCCAAACATGGACCACGAACAAGACATTAGAGCAAAGAATTACAACATGTGAAATGCGATGTCTTAGAAAAGCAGTAAACAAGACCAGGCGAGACAAACTTAGAAACTGTGTAATCCGAGAAATGGTGGGCACAAATGATGTCATGCATCACATCCAACACCAACAAATCAAATGGTTCGGGCACCTCCTACGACTATCAACATACCATCCAGCACAACATGCCT